ACACATATATTTTCCTAACGATATGCATACATATCATTACATATATGTATAGAAAAAATTCCCCACATAGTTTTTATTATTATCATAGCACTTTTCTCTTATGGTGCTTATAATTTCTGCCATGATTTTGCTTTGTGTAACTCATATTTGAAGCGTATTTTTTGGATGAGGAAGAAATAGAATATTGCACTTTTAAGATGCATTTCCAATGTTTTTATATTTAGGTTAAACATGTGAAATGGGTAGACACATGGGCACAAATAAACTAATAATGAAGGGCGAGGAGCAGATCGACCAGGAGCCACAAAGACAATTTCTGTATAAACAGGATGCACAGGGGAGCCGGATAATTTTGCCCCAGATAATGTACAAATTAGAAATTATTTTTTCTACAGAGTAATTCACACTAAAAAGGGAATTCTCCCTCATACAAGAAATCGAAAAGATTCTTGCGAAATGCAAAGGAAAGATAACATTTTTTATAGTATACTATGCATTTATTAATACGGACTAATGGAGGTTACCTGTTTTCGATAACATTGACCCGACTCACGAGCATTCCATGCGTTATTGTTGGATACAATGGTACAGGTCAAAACTTCACGAAGCTGGAAGTATAATTTTGAAAGAAAGAAATCCTACGGAGCTTATAAGCCGAAATGTGGGTTTATTTATAGTATTTTGAACCTAGATGTGAGGCCATTTTCGGGTGCACTATTTTTGCCATCCCTTCACATTCGAAATTCTTTTCCGCATTGACGTAGAATTGATATCTTCTGTGCATTGAATAATTGGAGACGCCCCTTTGGATGATCATTAGGGCAATTTGCTATGGGCGTTATATTGCGAAACTGTGGCATTTCTTGTGCTAGACCTTTATGAAAAAATTACATAGTATGATCTAAAATTAGTTCCCTACTGAGACATATCTCTTATGACATATGCCATCATACAATTATGCAATCTTTAATTGTTCAGAATTCGGAAATGAAAGGTGTTACTAATAAGAGGAGCAGAATAGTAGTTGGAAGAAAAGAAAAAGATTACTACGCAATGCACGCGTTAAATATACATAAATAAAAATAAATCAAAATAAATAAAAATAAATAGAAATAAATAAAAATAAATAAAAATAGATACAAATAACTAAAAATAAATAGAAATAGATAAAAATAAATAGAAATAAATAAAAATAAATGAGAATAAAGCAAGATAAATGAAAATTCCCTTCCCATTATATTATTTGCGTAATTTACACATCTTTTACAGGGCAGCTGTTATTCGTAAAAGGTCGTCAATGGAAAAATATTTTTGGTATTATCACGAATGGATTAAATTATTATTCTTAACTTAATCTGTTAAAAGAATATATTTGCTCTTCTCTATTTTTTTTTCTTTTTTCTTGGTTAATTCGTTCTATATTTTTCAATACATGGTACGATAAGGGAAATGTAAGTCAATAGGAATATGCTCCCTAATTAGAATCCTAGCAGAGTAGAAGTTCTGTATAGGATGCTTATATGGCGTTACACATCCCCCAATAATTAGAAAATAGAATTTATAATGCGTCGCCGATTCGTAAGATGTGAAGGTTCTCCATAGATTACACCCTAAATTATCAGTTTCCGTATTAATATTCATACGCATAATAGGTTTACTTCTACAGAAAAAAAAAAAAAATATTTCTCTGCAGGATTTATCTACTCATAAGAAAGCGCTTTTAATTTTCCCAATCATAATAAAATAATTGTGAATTCTTCTTAATCCGTCCTATTCTGCTACGACACGATAGTATTGATTCTATGCCGAATATAGCCTAATGTTAATATAAAAATCGAATCAGGGTGTCACTCCCTGAGAATATGGCATATAGAATGTGACATAAATGCCGTTATATACAATTCTACAGGATCCCGAATTTCTAATTATCAGGAAAGATATTGGATATGAGAATAATTTTAAAAATCCAGAGGCCGTGTGATTTTTCCCCTTCTTACTCTATTTCGTGTTATATGTTAATTAAGATTGTTCGGTGAGAAAGACCGTTTTCTTTCATGGGCATTATTCGCGGAGGTCCGGTACTGCGTATATTTGAGCAATATACATATACATGTGCTTACATATATATTCTTCTTCCCCTTATTTTTCTTCTGTATCTATAAAGTTCTCTTATTTTTGTGTTGTATAAAGATGAGTGCTTTTCCTTCTGTTTCTTCCCCTGCCCCTTGCTGTGTTTCCCCTGTCATTTTTTCACTCTGGCTCGCTTTACTCGCTTCTCTTATTTCTTCTTTTTTCTTTGTAGTTGCTTTCTGATGTCTGGTTCCTTCTTGTTCAACCTTAAGAGTCTGTATTTCATGTCATCTATAATTTTTCCATCTTGATCTTTTGTATTTGTCGCGCCCTTCTTGGTTTTTTTATATTTAACCTTAAAAGTGTGTACTTTTTGTCATTTCTAATTTTTCTCCTTTTCTTTTTCTTTCTTTCTTCTTCCTTCTTTTTTTCTAATTACATCATACATGTCTCATTCTCAATTCGGGAAAGATAACAAAGTGGAGTTCTCCTTCTCCTTTTTCTTTTTTGTTATACTCTGTAACTTATGTATCTTTTCCGCTTTTTTAGATATAGAGATAGAAATTCTAGAATAATTTCTCTTACTATAAGAGAAGTTCTGTTTTTATTTTTGAAAATTACTGTCATTAAATGATCTCTCTCATATCAGCGTCTACAACTTTGTACAGAAGCACTATTATATACCCAGTAGATCTTTTTAGGTATATCTATTCATCTAAGTCATGAGGAAAAGAAGTAGAAAGTAAAGGAATTCCTCATGTGTTCAATCCGACACGTCCTTGTATGCTATTTCTCGCGGTGATTACATATATCAGGATGTCAGTGAGAGGACAAGTTTATTAAAATAACAAGCAATCCCACATCCGCTGTAGACTAAACATACAGAAAAGATAAAAGTAGTATATATTAATAATCTTAATGTCTGAAAAATATAAAATTTCAGCATGCCTATTTTTTGAAGGTTTTTGTCGAGATGGCACCTTTCTTTGAGCAGCAGGCATGAATTTTAACTGAACACCCTACCAGCCAGAATGAATATATATATAATGGAAAAAGACAAGAAGGGACGGGACGTCCGGCTGAGGAGGGGACAACCTGTAACATATTCCACAGAAAGATGAGATTACAGTAGGGCGAAGATAGACACAATATTCTCTTCAGATAGAAGACGTCCTGTACGATAACCCTCTTCCAAATTACAATACTACACAGAAGGAATCAGAACACCCTTATATCCAAGATTATATGCAAATTATGTAAAGATTCAGAACGAAGTGTAAGCACACTAGAAAACATCTGCCAGAACTGGTACGACACACCCTCAATTAAGTGTAGAATCCTACATCGTTCTCCACAGCTTTAAAGAAGAATATATAAATGAAATAATGAATTCGGTGAATAATAATTTATTCAGCATGCCCGTGCTTGAGAGAAGGATAAATTTGCACCAGGATGCCAAAAAGGGGATGCACAGGTTGAAGGACTATTTATCATATTATTTGGGAAGATTAACAAGTCTGTATAGCGTGGAGGCACACATTTAGGAGGGCCCAATGGCAGAGAGCAATCATACTATTCAAACAGCAATGGGAATTATGTAGGAGTATCACAAGAGGCTGTTGTTCTAGTAGTCATAATGGATCAGCTGCCACAGTTGAAACCTAACCCTTTCATAAATTTGGCCAAACAAGCGTTTACCCTATTTATAAATAAGT